CATTATCAACACGAACGCACACACACTCACTCCAATTTCTTTGCTTATCTCTAAAAATATTCCGGGAAATTTCACTTCCGCTCTCTTGTTCGAAACACAACAAAATATTTGTCTAATCACAACCATTTTAAATAAAATCTAATTTTAGTTTTGATAAATATGTTGCTCTCTTCAGGCAATAATGCCTGAGTATGTGCTTGTGTGTATTTTCGATGCGAAGGAAAACTTTTAATACTAACTTATCTATCCTGCCTGGATGGTAATTGAAGTTTAAGAAGAATACTTAAGTTTTGCCTTTTATAAGCGACGAACTTGTCTCTTTCACACACACACACACACGTACACATACAATTACTGAAATAGAGAGCAGCAAGAAATCGCTGTTTTCCGCGTAAACTCTCTAAAACAGGGAATATAATTTTCATTTTTCTTCATTTGCTTTCACTTGCATTGCATGATGTGAGTGCATACATTTATTTTTCTTGGAAATTAAAAGTTGTCTAATTTCATTTTCCGTTTTGTCTGTATGAGTAATATGTGAAAATTGCAAACTTTCCGAATTTAATTCGTTGAAAATCTCTTAAAATATTGTTTATGCTGAATTGTGTTGTTCAGTGTGATTAGCATCTTTTTTTTGTATTTTTAAACCATAAACAAAAGCGTATGTGCATGTATGAGTGAAGTCGTATAATTAGTGAAGTTTTAATATGCATATATACATACATAAGAACGTTTTTGAGAACCATTGTGTCCCAATCTAGAACAAAAATGTTGGGACTTCTAAATAATTTGACTACATGTATATATCCTCTATATGTCTATGTGCAGGGTTGCCCATATTCGACAGAACCATGTTTTTTTTTGGGCCCATTCCAATCGATGAGGCTTGTCCGCAGGCAACATTCTTTCGTCATTCTTGCGTCAATTGAATGTTGTACGGGAACAAATGCAAATCAATGCGAATAATCCGTTGTAAAGTGAACCGAGCCATGCCAAACTGCTGAGAACGGCGTTTTTGGGATGTTCTTGGGGACCTCTCAACACTGGCTCATACGGCAGCGATATTCTCGGCCGATCGCCTTAGTCGACTTTTATATGGCCTCTTCGGTTTAGAAAGAGCCTTACCAGTCGAAAATTTTTCGTATAAACACTTAATGGTGTTCTTAGAAGGCGCACTTCTCACATTTTTGAGTTGAGTTTTCACAATTGACTTCTTCTGTTGAATGTAAATTTCAACTATTTCAGACTTTGGCGTGGCGCGTATTGGTTCATGATCTGCTTGGACTGACGCTTCAAACGCGATATGTCATTAAGCGATGTGACATCTCTGTCAAAAGTTATGGCGTTGCCAGATGGGTCCGTCGAATATGGACAACCCTGTAAGGTATTTGAAAAAAAATTACCAGAAAAATTATCAGATTGTATTACAGGCTTGCTAAGCATTACTAATTACAGGACTTATATACAAAACAATTCAAACCGTTCGAAACCAAAAATTTCTAGCAAAAAATAATAATAAGGAAAAGTCAAAAGTTGGGCGGGGCGACTATATGATATTCTATATTTAGTATCGCTCCCGTAACAAAAAAGTTTGTATTGGGAATTTATGTGAAGCAAATCTTACCAACTATAATCCAAATAACATTACTGCATAGTGCATGGTATGACTTCGATAAGTATTATATTCGGACCGAATTTCACCAAATGTCAAAATTCAGTTAAATAAGAAAAAATCTATTCAATTTGGACTGATATTACATAGGATAATTTTTACATTTTTGTTTTAAATTTTATTGAATGACAGCAAAAAATATCGGAAATAGCATAACACTTTTGAGTAAGCTTAGATTTGTTCGATTTGGTCACCTTTGGCACGATTTAAGGCCTTCACTCGGCCAACGAAACCATCACACGCTGCCCAAATGTTGCTCTGTGGTATTTTGGTCCATTCCCGGCGAAGCGCTTCCTTGAAGTGATCAACACTTTGGTATTTTTTAGTGCCAACCTTGCTTTCCAAAATACTCCAGTTACAATAGTCCAGCGGATTGGCATCCGGAGATTTTGGTGGCTATTGTGCGCTGGAAATGAAGCGAGGAACCTCATATTGTAACCATTCTTGGGTGGCGCGTGCTGAGTGCGATGGAGCTGAGTTCTGTTGGAATATCCCAGGTCTGTGGCCGAAATGTTTAGGTGCCCTAAGCTTTAATACAGCCTTCAGAATATTTTCGCGATAATATTCGGCATTTATTTTGACACCACGGACGATTATTACGAGCGGAAAGCGACCATCGGCTGTTATGGCGGCCCACATCATCACCATTGCCGGCGCTTGAGTTCTGGTGGCCAACCGAAGGTGCACATTTTCAGCTGTCCTCTTTGGCAAGTAAACACGATCATTTTGTTTGTTTACAAACTGCTGGACAATGAATACTTTCTCATCGAAGAAAATCAAATTCGGCACTTTCGGCCAAGCGAAGCAACTTTTTAGCTCTTTTGAAACTATTTTCTTTCGGTTCCGGCATATGTTCTTGCACATTTTGGAATTTTAAGGGCTCTACCCCGAGCTCATTTTCCAATATTTGCCGAATGAAATATTGCGATTTTTCGGCTACTGCGACGCGGGGGACACAAAATATTTATTCACTTCTAAATTCGGGATTGCTCTAACGATAGCCACTTGTGGTTTTCCTGCCAAATATAAAGAAATCACACAAGAGCGAAATTTTTTTCACACTTTTTTTCTGGAAATTTCTCACCAAAATGCTTTTGTACGCTTGTAAACAATATAATGTTTTCTCAATGCTGCTGTCGAACTAGTGGCTTAGGAATGACAGCAGTCTGAAGTTGGTTGCAGTTTTTCATCTCACCCTGTATTCAAAAATTTGACCCTTTGTGGGGGAGGTACCAAAAGAAGTGGACCGATATAACCCTTCTTCATCTTCAGAGCAGATCTTGTGTTAGTAGAAATAATGAGATGTGTGAAATATGAAGAGAATTGGATGCTCATTGCGAATTTTATGATGGTTTAGGTTATTCAAAACTTTGACCTTTGTGGGGGAGGTAGCAGAAGGAATGGTCCGATCTCTACCAGCTTTATAAGTGATTTTGTGTTGATTGATTGTCCGGATGTGCCAAATCTGAATAAAATCGGATGTAATATTGTGTTTTATTTATTGGACAGATAGACGGACGGACGAACAGATATCGCTATATCAACTCCAAATGTCCTGAAACGGATTTGGTTCAAAGAAACCTAAGGTGTAATGCCCATATTTTGATGAGGCACGTTTTGGTCCAATCTATAAAAAACTCCGTTGAAAATGTGGCATTAACGGACGAACGGATATCTCTAGATGAACTCCAAATATCCTGAAACGGATTTGGTTCAAGGAGACCTTAGATCTAAAGCCAATATTTCGTTGAGGCACTTTTTGTCCCAATCTATAAAAAACTCCGTTGAAAATGAGGTTTTAACTATCAAAATGTCGAATATTAGGAGCTACCGTTATATGGGCTTTCATAGGTGGTGATAGGACTAGGATTATATGCTGATCAAGAATATAAATACTTTCTGAGGTCTAAATTGCATATTTCGAGAAGTTTCAAACGGAAAGTATATATAAAAACAAAAAACAAAATCAATCCTTTTACTTCGAGAACCCTACCTAAAATTTTAGAGAATATTCAAATGTCAAAAAATTCCATCTTGTGACACTTTTTTTCCCTTTAAGAAACCATGGACGAACAGGACATTGAGACAATTACTTAAAAAAATCTGTTAGAAAAATATTCTTTATTCCTAAAAAAAATATTCTTTATTTAAAAAAAAAATATTCGGAAGATATCATTTGAGAACTACCTTAGCCGAAGCACAACGTACCACAAGTCCAAGGAATGAGTTAATGTTATCTTCTAATCCATGTCCAGATTGCCTGCATAAACAGTAACATCCAAAACGTCGTTTAGAAAGTTGCAATAAAACATACTGACTCCTAAAGGATATTAATATAAAGCTATACCATTATTGAATAATTTTTGAGATAAATTAAAATACCTACTAAAAACCAGGGATGTTAATTTGCAGATGTTTTTTTTAATTGGGGCTGAAACCTTCAAAATACCGAAAATTAGGAGGTATATGGGGGATATACCATTTCCAATACTAATTATCTTAGGAGTATTTAAATGTCTGTGCCAAATTTCATTAATTTATCTCGAATATTCTAACCTCTATCTTGGTTTCAATTGATATCTTTAAATCGACTATGAATTTTATGCTGATCACGAAAATATGTTCGTTATGGGGTCTACGATAACTATTTCGATATATAGCAAATGAAAAGGCAAAATTTATATATCGTGATTATATATATTTATATATATGTGATTATCGTATTGGTATGAGTTATCACTTGCAAGATAACCGGAACAGTCCGAAATTTTATAAATGAGTTTTATGCAGTTTACAGTTCTCATAAGGAAACATTTGCTTAAATCTCAAAATATATGTTTTAGTTTTCCCTGAATGTCCCATATCCACAAAGTTCTGCACTAATTATATTAAAATAGCAAAACAACGTACAGAGAGTGCTCTTTAAAAGAGCAACAACTTTTGCAGCCAAGTACGATGGGTGTGTGTACACACGTTGTGCAAATTCTGTGCGTTTATAATTCTCTAACGTACAGAAAGTTTTTGAAAAAAACTTTCGACCTATATACGCAAAGTAGGTTGAAATTTTAATATGTAATCATGTTGAGTGTTATTGTTCTCATGCTGAAAAACTAAATTTAAAAAAAAAAAAAATATAAAATTAAAGTTATTTTATATCAACATGTTAAAAGGGTTGAAGGGTTATGAATGTTACTACGAAAAATGTAATGCAAAGTCCTTAAATTTTCTTTGTATGCCAATTTGTATGTATGTCAAAAATTTGTATTTTATTAATAATCTTTTTTAAATTGTTGCTAACAATATGATTTCTGTTCTATTATTTTCACAGGGGCTGATGCCAATAATTTCGCATCGGCTTACATGTCAACAGCGGCCGGCTTACCACAATTTGGTAGCACCGCCCTGACCACATCACCATTAGCCAGTGTTGCCTTAAGTTCAGCAGCAGCTGCTGCCGCTGGAAAACAAATTGAGGGTAAGTTGTAAAAAAATGTAAAAATTATTTTTTGAAAATAATTAAATTGTGGAAGAAAATTTGTCAAATTATACTATTGTTTAAATAAAACAAAACTGTATAACTTTAGAAAATGCCTTCATAGGACCCTATATCCTGTTAAAAAAAAAAAACGTTTGCATATGGATGGTTTCTTCCGTATGAGGCATCAATCGATAGATCATTCTGTAGAACTGTCTTCTTTCAAGAAGCGATTGTAAATCTTAAATATGAAACAGTTTTTATTTAAGTGGTCGTTTCCGAAAGTTTTTTGAAATTTTTCAAGTTCTTTAAAAATGGTGAAGGGTATTAAAAGTTCGGCTCGGGCGAACATAGCTGTTGTTCTTTTTTCAGAAGAATATTTTTTTTTAAATTTTCCACAACCGAAAATTATGGAGTACTTTTGAAGAAGTCCTTTAATCTGCCTACATAAAAACTTTTAATATTTTCACCTTTTAATTTTTTTTAAGGTTACTTGAAGGTATTTTTCCTACAGAAGACCTGTTGAAGTCACTATGTCTATAAATGACTTATTGCTGTTCTTTTATCCATATTGGATCTATCGATTTTTTTACCACTATAAGATCTGTCAAGGACACATTGACTGCATTTGGCTTATAGAAGGCCTGCTGATAGTCTGCTGACAGTATATTGATTTTTAAATTATTTTTATTAAGAAACCTTTTAAAGGTCTGCTGAAAATCTTAATTCTATAGAAGAATTGATGACGTTATTTCTTATAGAAGACCCCTTGATAGACTTATATCTATACAAAACATATCAAAGATCTTTTATTATTATTTTAAGACTTTTGTGGCATAATTTATGGAATATTCAATGACTTCCTGGAAAAAATCATGGTCAGACCTCCTTGAAAAAATCTTGAATTTTTAGAATATTTTTCAAGAAAGCTGACATAATATTCTTGAAATTTTTTGGATTTTTATTCAGGAAATTCACCATGACTAATAACTATCGAGCTCAATATTTCAAAAAAAAAAAAAAAAATCTGAAATACATTTTAAGAAAAAAAAAATATATAAAGAAAATACCTCATGCAGAATATTTTTTTAAGGACCTCCTGCCAAAAAATTGTGTATTTAAACTTAAAAATTTTCAGAATAATTGAGGACTCCCTTGAAGAAAATTGTTGACTTTTAAGGATTGCCGGTTTAAAAATCTGGGCTTTAGGAATATTTTTCCACGGCCAGGATTGCCTATCAAGAAAAAAAAAATAACCATTTACAATATTCTACAATAAGGCCTCTCTAGGGAAAAGCGCGAATTTGTTAAAAATATTTTTCAAGAATATCGTAACTAAAAATTTTTAAGAGGAAATCATTTCAGAATTCATAAAAATGTTGGAGGCAACAAAAACAAAACCAGTAAAGGAAGTCTTAAAGTCGGGCGGGGTCGACTTTATGATACCCTACACCACTTTACTAATTTAGTAGAGCTCTACATAACAATTAAAAGTTTTTATGGGGAGAATTCAATCATACACGCTATGATTATAATTATAATTTAAAGTTCAAAGGACTAAACATTCCGAAGCATTTGTATCTTTTAAATTCGGACTTGTATTGACCATTTGGTTCACAATTAATTTGAAATCGGATAAAGATATATATGGGAGCTATATCCAAATCTGAACCGATCTTGATAAAATTTGGCAGATATTTCTGAGCTGTATTTGCAATATTCCCCCAAATATTGTTTTTAGAGAGTTCACATCACGGCAGCGGAGGACAAAAATAACAAATCGGATGAACAATATTTATGAGAGCTATAGCTATGTCTGAACCGATTTCGATCAAATTTGGCATACTTTTTTTCAGGCCTAATTTGGTTGTATGTGCAAAATTCTTACTATTCGGGCTGACATTACACGTTTGGTGTACAATAAAAGCCAAATCGGACGAAGATGTATGTGGAAGCTATATCTAAATTTTTACCAATTATCTCCAATTTCAATAAGATTCGTCTTTGGGCCAAACAAATGATTTGTGCAAAAATTTCATCTGTATAGGGCGATAAATGCGATCTGTACTTTGTTTGCAAAAATACATGGACAGACGGACGGACATGCATAAATCGACTCAGAATGTGATTCTATGCAGATCATCAAAAGGAACTATGGGTCTATCTCCTTCCCTTTTGCCTGTTATAAACAAATGCACAAAGACATAATACCCTGACCACTTTGTGGTGTAGGGTATAAAGATGGACTCCCTAACAAAAATCATGACTTTACAGAAATATTCTTCAATGATTGGGGAGCATTTTGGAATAATTTGCTGAAAAACGCTTGTAGCAAATAAAGAGTCTTCTATCCTTAAAAAAAACTTGTTGTAGGTCTTCTTGAACTTATATTTTTTTCTTCGACAGGCCTGCTGATGAGGGCACTTTTACTGCGGAAGTCCAATTTAATAAACTGCTTTTAACTGTCTTGTAGCTATAGAAAACCTTTTGAAAGTAGTCTATCTACTCACGGTCCGCTATATAAAAAGCATCTTCTGAAAGTCTACAGATGTCCTTTTAAAGCCGTCACTACCAGCAGACGATTTTAAGATCTGTTAAAGATTTTCTCTCTACAGAAAATCTATCCAATGTCTTCCATCAATAGAAGATCTGGTCTTTTATCTTCTGCAGGTTTGTTCAAGTTTGTCTGCTATCAATAGAAGTTCTCTTCAAGGCCTGTCATCTATAAAACCTTTGAAGGACTTCTGCCAAAAAAGATCTTCCATTTACAAAAGACCTGCTTATGGTTCTTCTGCATTTAAAGGATCTGTAGAAGAAGATCTGCTGAAAAAATATTTTTTTGAAGATTTGTCGCAGATTTTTTATATATGTGGTTCTTAAAAGCCCTCTCGTTAAAGGTCTTTGCCATAGAGAGGACCTGTTATGTGTTAACTCATTGATAGTAGAGTTAGACTGGGTATTCTACAACAAATTCGTAGAAGATTCTCTGTAGAATCTCCAAAAAAAACGAAATATCACCCAACAACAACAAAACAAATTTATGTTGCTAGTGACATTTTCTCATATATTTTCATTCATTCGTTCATTCTCTAGGAAAGGGAAAACGAAATCTGTATTACATTATTTGCGTCATGGTATGAATAAGCGATTGAATGACTCCATATAGATATGTATGTCTGTACTTCTTTGGTTGGAAGCAACAGCTTTGTCACCGTCATCACCAGCCAAAGAAGCAATGTCATCTTTGTCACTGCCACCATATCCAACACCGCCATGATAATCATCATCATCATCATCATTGCCATCGTCATCTTTCGTTGGTAGTGCCAAACATTCTCAATATGCTGTTGGAATCTGTTTGCTGGCTCACTCACTCACCAAATGCATCATCATCAGCAGCGGCAGCAGCAAATATGGCACGGTGACACTGTTACCCTGCCAGGACGACATATACACAGAAATGTATTAAAGTATTTTGATTTCCTGCATAGTTTCCGTTTCCCTACATCATCAGATTCCACTTTGGCGTATTCTTCGATTGGTACTCTTCAGTTTTTTTTGGTGGCATGGGTCCTTTTTTGAAGCATTTGTAACATAGGAAGTCAAGTGAAGTGGTATTTTGAGAAGCAGAGGTAGTTTGGAAGAGGAAGGTTAGGAGAGATATATATATTTAAGGATCGTCTCTCAGTAGCAAATGGCTGAGACAAAATAAATGCTCATTAGTTTTTCGCTCCTCATTAAGCTATCGATAGTAAGTCCTATTTTATTCTGCTATTTTTTATACCCTTAGTCATATGGTTACAGAGGGTATATATCCTTTAAGACAGCCAAAAAGTTCCTCATCGAAATAACGTATTTAGACCCTATGTCCCTTTGGACCAATAATAGTATAATAGTAATATCATTGGACTCCTTCTGGTACCGTGAAGGAGGGCAAAAAATTTGGAATAATTATTACTTTTATACAACGTGAAATAAGATTCCAATCGTCTTCGTACTTTACACATCTTATTGTTCTTATGAGCACAAGATTTTGTAAGGAGATCGGATATATCGGTTCACTCAATCTGGTGCCTCACCGACAACGGGTCAACATTTTGAATAATAATGAAGCTTAATGAGCTTCCGAATCTTTTCAAATGCCACATGGCTTGAAAGGGCCTCTAAACTCAGGCCTCCTGGACCAAATCCGTTTCAGTACATTGGGAGACGATGTAGAGGTGTCCGTCCATCTGTCTGTTTGCCTGGTGTACACGATAACTCTCGAAGAGAGTATCCGATTTGATCCAAACGTGGTAGATCGTAATATAATTGTCAAACTTAAATCGAGCTCGGAAATAAGCAATATCGGTCCTCCCCTTCTGGTACCTCCCCACAAAAGTTCGAAATAATCAAAAAAAATATATTTTACTGCACATAAAGAGGAAGGTTAATCCGATTTTGGGCAAACTTTGCAAATCCTAATATTTGCATCAGAGCTAGGTCAGGCACGAAAATGGATAACATCGGCTCAGTCCATAAAGTTCCTCCCCTACAAAGGTTCAAATGGTCAAAATTATGAATAATTATAACTCTTTTGAAATGTGATGTAGGAGTCCGATTGTCTTCAAATTACACACATCACAATCCTTTTATAAACCCAAGGTCTGGTGTGAAAATGGAATATATCCACTGCTTCTGTACCTCCCCCCACAAAGAGTCGAAATTTTGAATAATCATGCAGCTCATAAAATGAGAAATGAGCATTCGATTATTCCGAAACTCTGCACATCCCAATATTTCTATCAACACAATATCAAGTGTGAAGAGGGAAGACATCGGATCATTCTTTCTGGTAACTCCCCCATAACGGGTCAAAATTTTAAATAATTATATCTCTCATAAAATGCAAAATAAGCATCGGAGCTTCTCCATATTTCACCCATCCCAATTTTTGTAGAAACACAAGATTTGGTATGAAGATTGGATATATTTGCAAAACGCGAAATTAGCATCCGATT